TTTAAAAAGTATTACTATATTGTGGTTCCAAAAATGTTTTGATTCAAAACATCTTTTCAGTATATATGGAAAGGTTATATAATGAAAAACCAGCCATGAATTTCAAAACATTTTGCTGCCACAATGAACTGAAACAAGTAGTTTGGGCTCCAGTACATTGATCTCTGCCATTCATATAAGAAACCTGGATTAAGTTCTTTCTTTGTGCATTAGCCTAGCCAGTCATTTTCAGGGTGAATCAGTGTTACTTTGTCACCAAAATCACCTAAACAATCCAGGGTACCTGATATTTCTGAGCAGTTGTCCTGATTTATTGCATTTTCTTCCACGGGGAAGGTAATGTCTTCCCCAAAAATGCTGAAGAAATGTTCAATTAGAAATTGTACAATGGCAACCTGTAACAAAAATGGGCAAAAATAGAATGAATTTTTATATTTGGCAACAGTATATACCTTATTCCATACAAAAATCGTATACCTAACACAAAATGTGAAACTCAGAATTTCAGGAAAAATTCCGAGTTGACAAAAAAGTATGAAAATCCATTTTCTCTGGCAAATTATGTCAATTTTGAGAGCACTTGGGTACATATTTTTATGTTATTCTAGTCAGTTGATTAACATTATCATTTCTGAACTTAGTTTTCAGCATTTTTCATCAATGAATACCTCTTTACAGATATGACATTTTCAATTAAGATTTCTAGAATGGTTAGAGTAAAAATATATATCCCATTCTGAAATCTGTAAAGCAACAAAATAGATGCAAGCTTGGGGAATTCACTTTCAGGGGTGTATCCTAAACTTGTGAATCAAAGATTCTTGTTTAATTCTTTTGGCAAGAAAGGAGGCAAGTGGAGAAAATATATGCCTTTCTAACTTCAGTCTCTCCTTGTGCAATGCCCTGCCTCATCTCAGTATGACTTTCTGAAGGAACTTAGAGAAAATCTTGGCCCCTTTGGCATCATGAATGCATTAGGATATTTTCAAATTTCAGTTGATATTATATTCCATGAGCAGAGATGAAATTAGATTCAGGCATATCTCTGAATGAGTCACAACTGACAAAGGGAGTTCAGTGTGCACACCCACATTGCCAAAGCCACCCTAGCAGTCACTCAGCTCCTCTGAGTTACAGCTTCTACCATTTATCAACTGAGGAAGCCTTGGCTTACAAATGTCTCCCTCAATGGAGAGACCTAGACTTGAAGATTGGTTTGTACAACACAAAGTCCATGTTCATTTCCTTTTTGTTAAATGTATTTTTTTTTAATTTGAAAGGCAGAGTTACAGAGAGGAAAAGGCAGAAAGAGAAAGAGACAGTCCATCAGCTTGTTCACTCTCCAAATGGCCACAAAATACAGGGAACCATCTTTCACTGCCTTCCCAGGCACATTAACAGGGAGCTGGATCAGAAGCAGAGTAGCTGGGATTTGAACCATCACTGCAATATGGAATGCCAATATCATAGACAGCTGCCCAACCTGTTGTACCATAACATTGGCCACACTCCAAGCTGCTATCATCATGTGACTCTCTTCTTACTTTACACTATTATCAGTCTTGTGTTTGGTTTTCAGATGGGAAATAAGAAATGATCCCCTGCTATCAATGTCTTGCTTACTATCTCACCTGCCCACAACTGCCAGAAGAATGAATGACTATGGCCCTCCAGCAGATTACCTAAAGTGAGAACTTCAAAATGGCCCATCAGCATTAAGATAGTGAACTGTAAATGCAAAGTGGAGACAGTGCTCCCTAGGGCATACAAAGGAGACATCTAATTACCTTTCTCCTTCTTTCCTTTCTTCTTGCTGAGATTGTGGAACCACGTAGCCAAAAAAGACTTGGAGCTACACAAGATGACAACTTTGAAGCTGTCATATTATTCAAAGATGATTGCTTTG